CTATCAATGAGGATGTTTACAACGAATTTGATTAAATCGACTCATGATGAATTACCACATTACATCTTCAAGTATAGGGTGATATTTTAATGAAAATATCAATGCTATCTCGATTTATTCATCAACAGAAAACAATCACTTTCCTGGCCATATCATGCACGACGAACATTGATTTATTTCTATTGAACACACGATAAGAATTTGAAAACAAAATCTTCTGAAGTTGAGAATTTTCATTCTCCTTCAGATAAAAATATGTATATGCACATAATATCATTCCGATCCGAATATTCAACAGAAAACAACTAATATACTTTCCTGGCTATTTGCGACGTAGAACATTGAAATATACATATTACATCCAAAAGCATTCTCTCTCAAATCTGATGAATAATATAGGTACCTACTATGTATTATGATATACAAATATAACTTACCAATATGAAAAAAAAGGTTATAACTTGTTCATCGCTAGCTACACTGACCAGTTGCGAAGCAGTGCGTTTATTTTCGAAATTAATATAATTCAACACAATTTTAGAACAGTATGATGACGCAGAAAAGATTAGATACAATATTGAGGAAAACTATCGATCGGGAGTGATATGACAAACATCAGTTTGAATTATGATGGTGCAATGAAAGAATTCGCAGATTTGAAAATCAGAAAAAAATAGTGCTATCGTAATATTATGTTTCTCCTAGTAATTCCGACATAGGCGTATCCAGAGGGGGGCTGCCGGGCTGCAGCTGCGGGCCATCATGGCAAGTCTTAGGAGGATAATTTATAATTTTTACATATTATAACCACTTCTGACGTACGACAATATTCATCACTTCTCCATAACCTACGTAATAAACAAATTAACAGATAATTATTCGAAAATATTAATTTTTTATATATATAAGTGCGTATTGGCAACAGCGCCAGAATCGTTGCGACAGTCGTGACATCGTGACTCGTGAGATGTCGCGTGAAGAAACTTGCGAAAGCGCAGGAAGGGCTGATGCTTTATAAACATACCTACATTACGATTTTGCGCGCTTTTCTTTGGTCACCACTGTTTCTTAACACAGCCCCCCCCCCCCCAAACCAAAATCCTGTATACGCCAATGAATTCCGATATGGTTCAGTTCCTGTATTCACTTGAAAACATTTTATTTTGTATAGCTATCTGAACCTATAGTCAGTATTATAGTTATATTTCATTTCATATGTTGCTTATTATTCCATTTGATTTTCAATATATTTTTTCATATATTTCTCATATCCGATACAGTGTGTCCCGAATTCGACCCTCACCATTGTTATCCCGATAACTATGAGAGATAGAGAGTCGGTTAAATTACGAAAGTTTCAGCAAATTCAATCGTATTCATGTTTCGTTAAGAAATCTGGCTAAGCTTCAGTCATTTTTGAGTTATTCAAGAAAAACTATTAATAAATTGTATGAAGGAACAACCTCAACATTTAAATAGTCCTGATAGTAATCTTTAGAGAAGGAAGGAAATTCGATGCTGATTTAGAATCTGGAAAAATCAAATATTTTGTCCAGAAGAAAATAATCAGTTGGAGTTCATATCTCAAAAATTTTACAAAACCATCCAAAAGATCACTAAAAGGTACCGTCGGAATGTTGAAATCGTTTTTTCATACAATCAATAGTTTCGAGATATTTGAGAAAAAAGAAAATAACAAATTTCAGTTCTACTTGAATGACTCAAAAATGACTGAAGCTAGTCTAGATTTTTCGACAGCTACTGTATTACGATTGAATTTGCTGAAACTTTTGTGCATTATCTGATGGCTCTCTATCTCTTACAGTTACCGAGATCCCAATGGCGACCTTTCACTCTTCTATCGATACTTCCACGGGAAATGTTCTTCGGAAATCTCTGCAATCATCCCTTCACTAGCAATACCAATCAGACGAACTAGACAAGCCCAGTCAGCACATCCTTTCGTTGTCAACCTCGAAAGATGTCGAACAGTACTTTATCAAGACTCCTTCATCCATAGAACGGCTAGGCTCTGGAATTCATTGCCTGTGGAAGTATTCCCAACAACATAATATAATCTCCAAAAATTCAAGAAAAATTCCAATACCTACCTCCTGTCCCTATCCTCCCTAGGAACGCACGATGTTCTCTGAACATTATAGGGATTCCCTTTCGTGTGCTCCAATCGATAAAAAAAAAAATCGCATTCCGGACACACTATACAGGGTGTAACTAAATAAGTGTAAAACACTTGAGGGGGTGATTCCTCATCGAAAAGAAGATGGGTTCTTTCATATAAAGAAACTTCCTTGGAGCATCGCATGTTAAGATACAGCCCCTTGAAGGGTGTACATAACATTTGTTCAACAATTTTTTTCACAAGCACTAAAAAAGTTACAGTATTGAAATTAACCTGACATTTCCTACTACCAAGTAGACACTTAGCCAGTAATTTATTTGGTTTACCCAATGGTTGTATAAGGGGTGGAAAACGCAACCCCTAAATTCTATTTCCAATAATTGAACTTTTTGTTTTATTATTTGTTTACCATTTATGGATTCATTTCCGATATCCTGTTTCATTCTCAACAAAAAGTGTCTCTTGGATGTTCTGCCCAAAATAAACCAGTTGGCAGCATAAAATGCGAACTAGATTTATTATTATTTTGTAGTTACTACCTGCGTTGAGTGATTGAAGGGATCAAACCATGGGGTAAACCAAATAAATTACTGGCTAAGTGTCTTTTTGGTAGTAGAAAATGTCAGGTAAATTTCAATACTGTAACTTTTTTGGTGCTTGTGAAAAAAATTTGTTAAACAAATTTCATGTACCCCCTTTTCATGTGCTGTATCTCAAGATGGGAAGCTCCAATGAAGTTTCTTCATATGAAAGATTCTATCTTTTTTTCGATAAGGAATAACCCCCTCAAATTTTTAACACTTATTTAGTTACACCCTGTATATTTTCATCAACGAATAAATGAATTTTATTTTTGTTTGTATTTAGGAGAAAAATAGTAAATCGTATTATCAATTGAAAAATTGATGAAAAAAAAAAACAGAAGGAGAAATGTTCAAGGTTCTTCTTCAACAAATCATCGAAATGCATATAAAAAATATACCGCGTGGACTGACTTGTGCATGGATGAAATAAACATCAGCATTCGCGGAATATAATGTGGTAATGTGGTAAACGATTGACCTCCTTTTCGCAGACTCCATACTATAATGTCAGCAATCGTTCATAATTTTATCTTGATAGAAGATATGGAATGAAACACCTTTTAAGGAGAACAATTTGTATATTATTTATAGCTCAATACTTTATACATAGGTACCTAATTAACATTGCACATGAATTAATCTAAAATATCGAATGATCAGTCTATTTTGAAGGCTTCATATTATAAAGCAGCTCACAACATATTTACAACATACCTAATAGATCTTAATGATATAATATCCATAAATATCCCACATAATTATTCGCAAATTTTTATATACATCTCATACGTATACCTTGATATGCCAACGGTTTCTATATACATTTTAAATTAGGTAGATATACAGGGTGAGTCATGAGGAACTGTACATACTCCTATACCACGAATAGAGGCCCTTGAGGGGAATACCTATAATGACCATCAGAAAGTGTCATCTTCTCTTCTTTGCCAATATATAGGGTGAATTATGAGTTTGGCAAAAACATCTTTTGGTCATAACTTTTCAATAGCTCCTTTGATTCGTCTGATTTTTTCATGGAATGTTCGTCTACTAAACCCTAATCGACTAACCCATTCAAAATCGGGAAAAACCAAGAACCGTTTTTGAAAAATTTCGATAGTTAAGTTTTTATCAAAAAGTTCATCCTGAATATAATATATGGTTTTTGTAAACTGTGACTATGAATTTCCAAAGCCCACAAACAAGCATCAAAAATAAAATATTCAAAATTCTCCTAACACTCTCACAGAGTTTTTCAAAATACGATAAATTATAAGCAAGAACGAAAGTTTGAAAATTTCATTCATTCGAGAATAATTACTTCGCAACGCATAAATTTCACAAATAAAAGTTGGACTCACATTTTCAATGCTCTAGCCCAATGGAAATCAACATGTTCTTTCATTTTCTGGCCTGATGGGTCTCGTCATTTCATATTTGGTGGAGAAAAATAATCACCGTTTTTCAAATCATTGCTTGGGGTATCTGTTCGAATGTTGAATGGTCATCGATTCAAATAATTCAAGATAGTCGAACAGAAAATAAAGATTTACTCACAATTATTTTTCAAAAGCTATACTGACAAAGGCGGATAATAATAATTGTAGTACGGAAAATAAGTGACCAAATTAACTGAACAAATACCCCATCCACTGATTCGAAAAAGATCTACACAAACAAATTTAAATACTAAATCCAGGCCTGAAAATAAAATATTACTTATGTTGATTTCCATTGAGCTGAAGCATTGAAAATGTGAGTCTCACTTTTATTCGTAAAATTTATGATGGGTTGCGAAGTATCAATTCTCAAATAGATAAATTTTTTGACAAACTTTCGTATTTTCATAAGATTTATAGTTTTTTTTTTCTTTAAACTGCATATAGTGAGAGTGTGAGCGAAATTTGAAACATTTTATTCTTGATGTTTGTTTGTCACTCTTGAGAATTCCATGTCACAGTTTACAGAAACGATATACAGGATGAACATTTTGCTATAAACTAAACTATCAAAATTTTTCATGAACGGTCCTGGATCTTCCCAATTCTGAAGTCGATTAGAGAGTAGTAGCGGAATATTACATGAAAAAAACAGACGTATCGAAGAAGCTGTTGGAAAGTTATGACCAAAAGATGTTTTTGCCAAATCTCATAATGCACCCTATATATTGGAAAAGAAGTGTAGAAGTCACTTTCTGATGGACATTTGGTATTTTCTCCTCAGGGGCCTCTATTCGTGGTAGGATTATGTATACAGTTCCTCATGACTCACCCTGTATACAGAAAAAAAACTTTTTACAAAAAAGAAATAATTATTGACGATGAGATCGCATACAAAGATTAAATTACCTATATGTGAAAACCCAACTCATTAGATTGGATACGAAAATTTTTGGCAAATGCTATCAGTATTATATCTATTCATCGAAGATGTTAAGCAATTTAAGAAGATAAGGGCATATCATCTTCATCACAAGGTACAGTAGAATGATTGTACAAGCCTTGAGCCATCAGCTGTATGGCCAGAGCATTTTTCTGGCCAGACGACTTCTTGATCTTGGCCCTCTTATTCTGGAACCAAATCTTGATTTGGGCCTCGTTCAAGCCCAGCTCCGCGCTCAGAGCCTGTCGTCTTCTTTCGGTCAGGTATCGATTCTCGTTGAACTCGTGCTTGAGCCGCTGCAGCTGCGCACTCGAGAAAGCTGTCCTAGGACGCTTGTCCTCAGCGCTGCTCTTGCTGCTACTGCTGCCTGCCACCTTCTTCATCCTCCGCGATCTTGGACCTGTAACAAAAGAAAAATACTTTTAATTTTCTAGTATTTACTGTTAAATGTTTGAATCATCCATATAGGTTCATGAGTTATGGGTAGGTATAAGTAGAAAGTACTGTCAATTTAATTCATTTTGTTTTTTTTCTATGTTATATACAGGGTGTCTTATAAATCATGGATCCAAAGAAGTGGGGTGGTAGGGGGGTCATTTCCAATCAAACAATTCGATCATCAAAAGATGCTCATAATGCCAAAATGAGATCAAAACTTGTTGAATGTCCTAACGGATCCCGTTCATTTTGGTCCTTCGCCAAAGCTGTAGGAAGAAACTTCACTTCCAGCTCGTTTCCTCCTGTAACCAAGAAAGATGGAACACTAGCCACAACTGCCCAGGAGGAAGCCAACATTTTTGAGCATTCATTTGCTAGAACTTCCACTTTGGATTCATCGGGAAAACAACCTATACAAACATAACTCCAATTGACAGTCATATGCCCGAGATCACCTTTCGCCAACGTACTATAAGGAAGATTTTATTGGGTCTCAACACCAACAAAGCTTGTGGCTCCGACGGAATCCCACCGATTGTTCTTAAGAAATGTGCTTCCGAACTAACACCTGTTCTCTGCAAGTTGTTCAACTACTCTTACAAATTGAGGATATTCCTGTCCAACTGGAAAATTGTAAGAGTACAACCAGTTCCTAAAAAAGGCAAAAAGACCCTACCTAGTAACTACAGACCGATCGTACTGCTATTATTTCAAAGATCATGGGGAAAGTAATCAACATCGAGCTCATGAAATACCTGGAAAATTCAGGTATTATCAACGATAGACAATATGGCTTCCGTCATCAGAGATCAACCGGTGACCTGCTCGCTTACGTCTCACATAATATATGGCAGCAATCTATTGAAAAATAATATATGGTGAAACCTTAGCCGTGGCACTTGATATTTCCAAGGCATTCGATCAAGTCTGGCACCACGGACTCCTCGCCAAGCTGCCATCTCTTGGCTTGCCCCCCCAGCTATGTTCTCTGCTAGCTAGTTTTCTCTCAAACAGGTCTCTCCATGTAGTTAGTGGTCGACACTGTTTCTACACTCCATATCAACGATTTGTTGGAAGCAACTTCATGTCCAGTACACATAGCTTTGCGGATGAGAGTACCCTCCATATACCGCCTTCTCTTCCAGGGCTCCAATACCAGCCACAGGAAAATCAGAAACGAACGAGGAAGAAATGTTGACAACAAAAATATGGACTTGGCATCAATTCTCGAATGGGGATCCAATAACTTGGTAGATTTCATTGCAAACAAAACACAAGCATGCCTTTTCTCTAGAAAAGCCGATCTCATTGATGTGCCCATATAACATAAGCTTACCAGGAGCTAGTTACCAAACCTTTGAAGACATCCATTTCGATGCTTGGTGTTACTATTATCAATAACCTGTCTTGGGAAAATCACGTGAGATCAATTGCTAAAAGTGCATCCCAAAAACTTGGTTTTCTGTTTCGGGCCAGGAACTATTTCACTTCCAGTCATCTATGCTTATGATCTATAAGGCACAGATCCGACTTGTCCTGGAATACTGTTTCCATATTTGGAGTGTAGCACCCAAACATACCCTGAAACTGTTGGATTCTATCCAAAAAAAGGGCAATTCGTCTCGTATAGGTGATGCCTCGCTCACAAACTAACTCACTTCTCTGGAACACCGTATAGAAAAGTTATAGATCTGGGTCTATTTCATAGACCATGCTCTTCTGAAATATCAACAATTGTTCCTTCCTTGGCAGTCCCCGCGAGATTAACCCGTCGAGTTGAGGCTTCGCACCACTTCGTGGTCACTTTGGAGACCTGACGCAGAACATCTCTTTCCAAAGACTTGTTCATTCAACGAACAGCGAGGCTCTGGAACACATTGCCACGGGAGGTGTTCCCCGAGCCATATAACCTCCAGAAATTCAAGGAGAACACCAATTCCTATCTATTTTCGTGGGAAACAGAACATAAAAAAAACTAACCGTATATGTGGTTATCCATAAATGATGATGGTTCAAAAGTTATTAATGGTTTTCCATTTTAATAAAAAGAATTAATTACAATAAAAAAAAGTCACATTTGTGATTTCTTCTTCTACATACTTTATCCATAATATGGATGCACCTTTCCCCATGCAGAAATAATTCTATATGACATGTGTTACTTCTTATCAATTACCTGAGAAAAATGTTGTTCTTCTTGAGTTTTGTCATCGAATGAAAAATTTTTGAGTCGATTGTCAAATGCCGCTGGCAGATTTAAAATCTACCCCACAAAGATAACTATATCAATCATAAGAAAAAGTCTCCCATTTAATACAGGTTCGGAACTGGTATAACATATGGGTTTATTCTAAACAGCCTTTTTGTTATTAATTTTTTTCAAATGGGTCGCATTTTTTTCAGAAAAATTGTATAACTCTCGAACCATCAACAATTTGATAACATTATACTGTTAGTTTGATTACAAATGACCCCTCCCCTAACACCCCATCACTTCTTTTGATCCATTACTCATGGGACACCGAGTGGGACACCCTGTATAGAATAATAATAGATTGATTCTGTACCCACAGGGAGGAAAAAAAGAACTCACTTCCGAGGTGTTTATATATTATTTTTGCACGACTCAATGATTCTAATCGAAATAATATTATGATAAAATCAATTATTGGCAATAATATGACATTTACGAAAATAAAAATCTGGACACAAAATGAAGTATGTATGATTATCTAGACGACCGATAAATAAGAGTAGTCATATTGCTTTTGTGAACATCGAAGAAGTAGTGTGCTCGCCTTTTCTAATCTGTTTTCCTATAAGTTCCTTCAATAAATATATTGCGAACATGTGTGATAAAACCATTGAAGACCTCGCGAGACAGTCACATCATCAGGTTGAAATATTCAAGTTCTTCCCATTTGTCAACCATCATCCATTATTATACTCGGTACTCGGACATTTTGCGTGTCATTGTATCATTAAAATGACAATACAATACTGAATACACAGAATATAATATCGCATCAGCACGGCGGGGTATATAGAATAATCTCATCTCATCAAATGAAAAAGGAGTTCACTTAATTTATTTCCATTCATCTCAGGTTATACAGTTTCAGGTTTCAGATTACCAGAATCTTCGATAAATCTGAATAGTTACCGGTAAGAAGGCATTTCTTGTCGTTATGAAGAAGTCGATATAATATCAGTATTTTAAAAAAAGGACCTATATATCTACCGATATAATTAATGTTACATTGTCTTTTATCGAAATCAAGACAAGCGAAAACACGCCTTTTCAACACGTCGCCACCAAACCACTTCTCGAACAATAGCATTATATTTTATGTTGACGTTCAGAATCAATCAAGTTATTTCTATTGTTAGCGTATAGTAATTAGTTAGAGCTCCTGTATTATAGTAGGTAGTATGCGAAGATCTGATAAGACAGCTCCAGACGGTTGGGACCGTATCTGTTTGCCTCTATACCATTTTCATTAACATCCTTATATATAGATAGAGGAGATAATCAGGGTAAGCTGTTAACTACACTAATAATATATTGCCTGGAAATATTCTGGTATTCAGGGTGCCTATACCTAAATCCTTTCAAACGATGAAGTAAGGAAATTTATTAGATCGAAGAGGCAATCCATCAAACCGAACGGAAAAGTATCGCTTATCGCTTTCGTTTGTGGAGATAAGTGGGTGAAGATTGTGAATGTGTCATCGGATTCTTAAATTTCTGGAATATATGCGGACAGATATATTTCGGCAGTGATGACGAAAATCAACGCCAATTTTAAGTGCCTTTTAAATGTTTTATTTTTGGAAAATGTGTCAGACGTCATGAGTTAGATGAATTATTGCCTTTTCGGAGTTAACTTATTGATGCGTGCATGATTGTAGTTTTTGTTCTAATAAGCTTTTAATATTACCCGCTGACCTGAAGTTGACAAACTTATTATACTTCCATTAAAGGTATAAAAGTTGTGGAACATTGAAACATTATTGTTTATTTTCTCCTGATGATGTAAAGCGAGAATAAATTGATTTGAACATTATCATCAAGTAGGTAGATTAAAAGTATAGATATATATTTGCGTGCTATACTGATGTCGCATATATAATGTTTCTGCCTATACAGGGTGCTCCTCAAGTAATGGTATTGTAATTGTATAGTACATATTTTATAGAAGTATAGGTATGCGGCAAAATTTTGCTGTTTTCGATTTTGTATTTCGCTTCCCCAAATATAAAACAAAATAACTAACCAGCAGCAGGACATCTTAGGATGTCATAATATTTTCATATTCATCAGGAACTCAACACAAAATCGTTATATATAGTCATTCACTTTTACTTTTTTATCGATATATACAGGGTGGGCCACCAGTAACGCCTCGGTCTCTAGAAGGCTAACCACTTATATCTTCTTGGAATTCTTCCTCTCTAGGAAGTTGCATGTCAACATAGGCTACCATTTGAAATTATTTCGAAACATACAGGGTGTCCCCAAAAACCATAAAACACTGAAGTTGAACTTTTTTCAATCGAACACCCTATATATTATTTCATTTTGAGATTCTCCCTGGTGAGCTGATTTCAACAATCCATCATACTTGGGGTCTAGCAGTTATAATTACTGAGATATAGGGTGTGAGAAATCGAGATTTTCCAAGTTCAAGAATTTTTTGTGTCTAAACCATTCATAATTGGTCAAAACGGCTCACATGTCCCTATCTCAACTTTTGATCAACTATCTACAGGACACCCTGTATGTCTCGAAATAATTTTAAATGGTAGCCTATGTTGACATGCAACTTCCTAGAGAGGAAGAATTCCAAGAAGATAAGTGGTTAGCCTTCTAGAGACCGAGGCGTTACTGGTGGCCCACCCTGTATATAGAAATTTGTACAGTATTGGCATTTCGCAAACTTGCAATATCAACCTTATAAACTTGTGAAAATATAAATTCCTATAATCTCCTAATCATAATAACATATATATATAATTTCAAACCTATATGGCACTATCATTTTTGATCTAGTGAGCCGCTCTTGCACAGTGGATGTAGGTATCCATATTCTGTATTGATGGTATACCTATGTATGAGATGAAATTATTGTTTTATCCATGAAATTATGAGTAAAATAATCTTAACAAATACAACTCATTTTATTGATTTTTATTTATTGATGATTATCGAAAATTCCTTCTCTTTTTCGAAACAAATTGTGTTGCTTGGAAACTACACGAGCGCATAGTATAGGAAATTTATATATTTCGATAGTTATCAATACACTTCTTGTCTCGCTTATTGTTATACAGCGTGTCTCATTTCAAACGGCCCCCCCTCTATATCTCAGCTATCATCAGTCGTGCGATCTTTACCAAATTTGTATCGGTATGAATAATCATCAATATAACCAGTTTTTCAGGGACAAACATCATTTTAGACAGTGCCGTGCATTTTTATTGAAATGAATAAGGGTCAGTTTTTTATTAAATCATATTAGGCAAGATACCTATGAAGGGTTTCAGAAAAACAGGCACATCTAAACAGCATCTTTGCGAACGTATTAATTATTTACTCGGAAACGGTGAGTTCAACATAAAAAAGTATAACCCGTTTTTCCTTCCAAACCATGATTTTCCACCTACCGGAGCCATTAAATGTTCCAAAATTCGTAGTTGATTTGAAGTCACTATTTATGCGAGACTGAAAATGAAAAAAATGAAGTCAATCCTGTTAATTCGGAATTAGGTGATTTTTTGCATATGGAGGTTCGAAAGCATGAGGAACAATAATATGGGGTTAGATTTCCTGTAAAAAAATGCCTAATATGATGATTTTATGAAAAATCGACCCCTTTTTATTTCAATAAAAACGCACGGCACTGTCCAAAATAATGTGCATATCTGTAAAACTGATCATATTGATGTTTATTCATATACCACACCAAATTTGGTTGGAATCGCATGACTAATAACTGAGATATAAAGGGGGGCCGTTTAAAGTGAGACACGCTGTATATTACCCACATACGAGAATTATGCAACTGATAAGTGATGATTTATAGAATCATCTATATCATCTCCATCAAAATTAATGGCGTTTTACCTGGACCACCCTGTATATAATATATTATGCATACCTATATGAACCATCCATCATATACAATTAGTAAATTGACTTAGTTTAGTATTCACCAAATCTCTGTGTGATGAAATCAACGATTTATAAGAATAACTTCATTACCCCATATAGCTCATGCTCAAATATATATACCAAGTATTTGTATAATTATAGGTATATGTATAGATATACCTATAATAAGTCCTATTATAAATATAAATACTTCCTTTTATATTCAGATATATTCCCACTTGATATCTCTCATTAGTGCGTGTCCATATTGAATTTGTTTGGAAAGCTTCACTACAGGAGATCACGAGATAAATAATACATCAATTATTTTACTGAATCGCTGATGGAAACCACTTCGAACACTTCTCTACTTGTGTGGTCCTTTCTTCATTCAAAGAAATGCAGGTTGTAGAGGCATCTTTGGAGAGCACGTAGAACTACCGTAACTGCTTATACGCCTTCTTCTCAAGGCTTCTATAATATACACAGCTTTTTTCAATATTGAATTCATGTTTATGATCTAGATCCATTTTTGTATAGGTACAGAAGTTGCTGATATTTATTAATTAACATCGCTCAGTTTGGCTATTATTTAATGAAGCAGTTTATATATTATTTATGGACTACCCATGAATTTGTTGCTGAAAAAGGACTCGCCTACATGATGAGAATGTGAAAATATGAATATGAATATCTTTTTCGGCGTAATTAATACATGCATGCATATGTTTTGTATTAAACCACCAAGAATGATGGTGATGAAACTAATGATGATGGTGATGTTTCCAAAAAACTCAATGTATATGCGTATGTAAATTTGTATGTCTATTTCAAAGTTTCAATTAACGAAGCTTCTCTTTATGGATTTAATAATAATAATAATAACATAATATATGCCCATGATGCCCCCTTTACGGTTTATCTATATATACATATATAAAAACAGATTTATTTTTATCATACAAAATGTTTATTATATGAAATACTCAACCCTAAATGCATAAAAAATATGAAAGGAATGCATAGAAAACTCAAAATAAACTCGAACACATAATTCGCAAACAAATTGCTATAGCATCGATATTTGACCCCATCGGATTCGTTGTGACATGCACGCGGGAACGCAATTGGCGGTCCAGGTCCAGCATAGGCAAATTCGTAAGAATCAATTTGAAGACAAAAACTGATTCACAATTTGCATTTCTATACCTTATACATCGACTACAGCTGCCATATTCATAAAAAATAAGAACAGTTTTCTTGGATCATCACTCACCAATTTGGATTTCATTTCGTAAAATCACTAATAGGAAGTGAAAGCTTCTAAAACCTAGAAGCAACTGACTGAAAAGTCTTGATGCATGATCTGAATGTGGCGGTATATATAGGACGGTGAGGGCGCGATATTGGGCGCGATGGTGGGCCATCATATAGGCAGGGGGCCATCATAGGCACATTTCCCATATATATAAGAAAAAATATAGCATGTGATTTGTTCGATTTAAGGTTCAATTTAGATATGATAACATAAATAATTCTTCTTCACAATAATATAATGAAATGCAATATAGTAAATTTATTTATTGCAAAATCAATACCAACCTGAACTGGGACGGTCCGAATATCTAGTACAGTAAACCCATGCAGGCCAGAGTTGTGGAACATTTCCATCTTCATCTTTCTTTATTTCTTCTGGGTTTGGCAATGTTTTCGCTGGGGCTGTTGATGGACTTACCGGAGCAGGTTCCGGTATCCTCTTCACCAAACTTCCAATCTGGGAAACTGTTTGACTGAGACTTCCCAATGGAGCAATACCGATCGGTTTTGATTGCCTGCTTTTTTCACATTGTTCGTATGGTTTAAAAGCTATTTTCGGGATAGACCGAGTTTTCAACACGGCTGTCTTCCCGAACTCTGGTTTCAAAATATTGTTGATGGAGTACTTGAGGGTTTGGATGGTCGGTTCATTCTGCAATGATGACCTTGAAGAAACGCTTTCTGATGGTGACGGTGACCGAAAACTGGCAGGACTCTGTCTTTCGTACTCACTTTTCGGACTAGGCAGGGCGAAAGAGGTTATTCTGAAGAAGGAACGCTCTTGATCAACTTTTGCAGGAGCGTAGTGTCTTGGCGAAGTGGAAGGTGAGGAAACGAAAGTTCTTGAGCTTTCCTTGTGGTTGATCGTCATGCAAGTGTAAGATGAGGTCCTGGTAGATTCAGGAGAATTGGGGGAGTTCATGATGTGGCTGCCATTAGTATTGTTTGGACTGACAGCCGTGTTAGGACTAGAGCGATCCTCCAGAGCCATCGGTAGGAAATTGTAATTCATCAAGAATCAAGATGTCAATCAAGCACAGCACTTGAGCACTTCTCGGAACTCGCACGAATCCAGTACTCACTTCTAAAACTACGCTGTCACACTGAGTGAGATTTCAAAATAGTCATCTTTATCACGGAGGTATAATTCTGACCACGCCTACGAGTGCATGCGCTTCATCTCTTCTGAGGGCCACACGCATATCATCGTCTTTCTTTCGTCTGTACTCGGTCATCTACCCGTCCTTTTCTCTTTATTTACTCCAGTCCTGTGTTCTTCCATTGTATAAATACCGATGAAAATATGCGTATTTTCCATGTAGGTTCTCGAAGCAAAATCTATAGTTTACCCCGAAGCCTAACTAGTTACAGTAGCACACAATAATTCGAAGTTGGTATATTGCCTGAAATATTATTTAATTCCATGCAGAATTCTTTATCGATTTATAGGCCTATCTCGTTTCCACTCACTATTTTTCACGAGCACTTTTCACTCTTTGAATATCTCACTCAGACCTTTCGAGAGCCAATGGTTGGTGGGCGGAGTTGTAATAAACCTGCGCTGGTTGGCTTAGAGATGGTAGTGAGGGTAAAAATAACCAGATTGAGATGTAAGAGATGTTAGTTTTTGCCAGGTTTGAGGCGGAGTCAGCGAATGTAAACGTGATAATTCAATAGGATGTGTATGAGGATCTTTAGATTAATAAGCGGTTTCAGATGATATTTTCATCAATCCGAATATTAATTGACAATTTTCTGGCATTACGAAGTTCGATATACTTACCTATATATTAATCTTATGTAGATGTATGTATATACCTATATATATTCATCTTATGTTGAAGTCCTATATATGTAGGTATTAATGCCATTTGAGTGATAACAGTGAAATACAATTCTTGTGATGTATAACTCTATTTAGGAGGCTATAGGTTGCCGCGTGGTAAAAGCGTCAGTATTCTATTCACAATGGATTGCCGGTTGGTGGGTTCGATTCCCACGACTGCAGACATTTTTCTGCATGGCCTAAGAAAGTGTTGTTTTATTGAAATTTACCATTCAGTTGATGGTATCGGATGGCATAATTCTTATCTCGTTTTCAAATCGCGGAATCGAGTGCAAAATTTCGTTCAGGAAAGTATGCAATTTTTCAATCATTTTGCTCAGGATACCTAGTGAATGATGAAATTTGCAGCCGGCTCTTGGACTATAATATAGGGCACTGTGGTGAATGTATATAGGCCATCTCTTTATTCTGTTTCTCAAGTTATTATTATTATACCTAGTGAATGATGTCGATTAGATACATATAATATGTTGTTTTGTAATGTGTTGGCTTTATCACCCTATATAAGAGATAAAATATTAGATTGCCACTATGCAGTTTACATCATATACCATATCCATATATACTTACCATCGAATATGATCTGAGTTTTGATATATAAATTGAATGAACACTGACTAGAAAATGTCTGTTTCAACCTTTAATGATGTTTGTAATTCCGAATGAAATGTTTGTTTCAACATTTAATGATTTTTTTAATGTACTGGTTCCCACGAAAAAGGATATCCTGTAATGTTCAGAGAACATCGTGAGAACCAAGGGAAATAGGGTATAGGAGTTGGTGTTCTTCTTGAATTTCCGGAGGATGCCTCGGGGAACACCTCCTTCATTGGCGATGTGTTCCAGAGCCTCGCTGTTCGTTAGATGAACGAGTGTTTGGAAAGAGAAGTTCTGCAGGTCTCCAAAGTGACCACGAAGGTGTGCGAAGCCTCAACTCGACGGGTTAATCTCGCGGGGACTGTCAAGGTCGTAGGAACAATAATTGTTGATATTTCAGAAGAGCATCGTCCATGAGAATATCTATATATATATATAAAATAGAGCCAGATCGCCAACTTTCCTATACACTGAAAAAAAAATGAGTGAATTTTCACTCAAACTTCACTCAACAATCAGAGTTGATTACAATACAATTACAAATCTAACCCAATTTGTAATCATCAGTACATGCGGTCTCGCCTCCCGAAATCAAGTATGGCTTCTTCTCGCTGCAGAATCTTACTAACAAGCTCGTTGACACGTTGACAGTCACATCAATCTGCAGACAAAAAAAATGCATATATAAACAGCTGATTCAAAAATGTATTCGTCAGAGCACATTTGTTCTCTGTATGTTACCTAGAGACAAATTCACGAATAACGTTTCAAACAAATATTTTATCGATCTCATGAATGATCGCAATTGAATTATTCAGTGTCAGTTTTGATAACACTTTCTCAATTAAGATTCAATATACCTAATTTGGAAATAATGTGATCAATGATGATTACATTTACTCATTTCTGATTTGAAATACTCTCATTTGATTGATTTTCAGTCACTATTGAGTGAAAAGCAAACACACGAAGATGGTCGTGCATGCACGGAGAAAAATTATTGTTACCGTAACCAGAATTTTAACTAGAATTCAAGTTAGTATAGGCACAACCAGATATATTGTCAGTATAACTATTTGTATATAGTTAGCTCCAAATCGTTCTGATAACTAACTTCATATTGTTATAATTAATAATCAATGCACGGTCACCTCAACCATATTTATATTGTCTTCCTAACAAGATTATATTGCTATACTCACAATAATATATCGCAAACCAATCATTATTTCTTCGTTAGAATAGCAATAATAGTGTTATCGTAACCAGACAGTTCTGTTATCTCAACAATATAATATTGATCTAGGGATCAGAATATCTTGTCACCCCAACTACATTATATTGTTCTCATGAGTAGACTATCTTGTTACCATAACTAGAAAACTTTAATATTCTAACAAGGATATCGTGTTATTCTAACTTGATTATATTGTTGTTCTAACTGAATGATATTGTCCTAACTGGATTATTTTGCTGTCCCAACTAGATCGTATTTTTACCATAACAATATAATATTGTCGTACTTACGATGCCACTATGTCACAATCACTATATGATATTGTCACCAAATTTTCATCACATTGAAACTCCAACTATACCATATCGTTACGTTAACAACATATTATTGTTAATCTAACCATATCGTTTCGTCATGTTATCATTTTCCACAGGGCGTTTCAGAACATGTGGTATTCCAAAATATGACCCCTGATGAAACATAACAGTCAGAATGCAGATCTTATTTGAGAATCCTTTTTCTTCTGTTGGAGGCATTCCATGGAATTCTTAGATACTTACAAACTGAACTCTCCTTGCCGATCAAGATAGTTAATTCGACATGATTTCAGAATTTCATTAAGGAAAGTTTTACACAGAGAAATGTTGAGTTGAATATTGCTCCAAAATTTTTTGAATGTCAGCTGTTCGATCGGGCTGAATGTCTCATAAAAATAATAATTTTCTCCAAATGGCTTTTTAATGACACTTAACAGAAAATATGTATATACTTTTACTGCCTAGGCAGAAAAAGTACTACCTATAGTCAAAAAAGTTTGTTGCTATGCGAGTAATAATATGTATCAAATTCGTAATCAAAATTGACATTGACATTGGGTGATCACAAATTGATGGATAATTGGACATGGCGTGAAATTAAGACAAATTTGGAAAAAAAAAATTATATGTTTCACATAGCTTCTCTTCCTAGTAAAACAAATAAATATTTTTCCATCAAATATATAATGTTCAGAATGCTTTATTGAATATTGAAGATCAACTATAAAGGACTACATCTAATGACAGCTCCGGATCATTCAATATTTCCTCCACGATTCTTGACACAAAATGCGCAGTTGATATGTCACAAGGACTGGCTGGCTTGATGTTTTTTGGTTGCCTGGAATGCCTGGCAGTGGCGGGAAAATTTCAATCGGTCTCCAATTGTCGGTATCAAATCTTTGAGTACCTCTTCACTTAGATAATTGAAAACTCATCCATTCCCTGCTCTGAAATTGTAAACAAACAACAAATTATCAATAGAGCTCTTCTTATATTCATAATTATATTTGGGCGCAAGGAAACCGCGGTCGAACAATTGAATACCAAACTGCGTTTTCGGAAGGAATTCTGAATATGGAAAAATGTACAAAGTGCATAATTATCACTGCTCGGGGTCAAACTAACTGAAAAATTCAACTGCCACTGATGAATTCAAATGTGTTGGTATATATGCACTTATACAGTGAGTGAACTGGTTCTTCTATACTGGTAATAACAGACAAACGAGTAGGCAATCAAATCACTCAATCAGTCAATAAAAATATTTTCATTGTGATACCTACCTAGATCATATTGTTACCACAAGTTGAATTGTTATCTCTTTACTCATTACAAGAATCCGTTTAGGTAGGTACTTGTTGGGTTTTATTTGAATTTGTAACTTTAGTGATTTCGAATGACCTTGTATATTGTATTTTTTGAGAGATGACATGTTTTTGAAAGATAAAAAAAAAGAGTTGAAGTTTGCGAAGAATAAATAGAAACGAAAAAAGGTACAAGAGTAGTTATCTAATTTGTAAAGGAAAAAAAATCGATAAACATTGTGCTGGTCACATCGAGCGGATCCTTATAAGGACATTTTACGTAATTATATACATTGTGCTGGTTTACTTTCTGGTAAAACCAATTCATCTTTCATCCACAATAAACCACATTCCCATCGCTTTTCATTTTCGATCCTTCTTGTTACTGTTTCAATTATTTCTGTAGCCCTCTTATCTTCTGAACCCATTACCTTTCCTTCTAAAACCTTTACTCCAAATGCTTCTGTGGAAAAATAGTACTCATAGCAGTATTCTATTTTTAACGATATCATATTGTCATCGAAGCATTCTTGTAGAGCTAGCATAAAGGATATGAAAAGAACTATTTCTATTTACCTAGATTACCATGTAGGTTATTAACAAAATACTCAATTGATCATTGAATAGGTACCTTCCTATCATTTCCTACCTATTATTTCATTTGGTACACTTAGAGAGATAGGAATTGAATTAACTTACCTCCAGTTTAGCACAAGGTGATCTAATGACCATGATTTTGATAAATACTCCACAGAACTCCCCATTGCTTGAGACTAGTCAGCCACATAGTG